GATGGAGCACTAGTTGGTAAGTGCTAGTTGTCATCGGGTCGATCGTTGTAAGGTAAGAGGGATTGGGAATCCTTCGATTCTGGTCTGCTTTGGGAATTTAGCCGATTCAAAGTGGGGGAGAATCACTCAGGTATTCAGGGGCAGGAGCGATTATGAAACTAGGATGAGTTTCGCATCCCCGTCAAGGAGGAGGGCGGCCCCAAGTGGCTGTTTGGTTTGAGGGTTGTGTGAACTGGGAGTTTGGTAAAGCTTCCCAACATGTGAATCATGTCTTCTTGATGCTTGATAGCAGCATTTGGGGAAATCAGGATGGTGTTTCAGTCATGAATTGAGTTCAGTTTGGGCGTTCGGTTAGGTGTATGCTCGACTCTGTGTGCGTTTCGAAGTGATAGATCAGTGGTAAGGCATTGGACTACGGTTGTGTTAGGGCGAAAATGTTGTAAGATTGCGGGGGTAGCCATAGAATTCACAAGCGGTCAGGTAATGTGGAAAGTGTTGTAAGACTGCGGGGGTTGCCGTAGCATTCACAAGCGGTCAGATAGTGTGGAAAGTGTAGAAAGACTGCAGGGTAGCTGTGGCATTCACGGATTCGTTCAGATGATTTAGGCCAGGGTGGACCAATTCGCAAGATTGTGGGTAAACCATGACATGTTTGAAATCAGGAAATGGTAGGTCGTGGGAGACCGGGTATGAGGAAGACTACAGTTGGACCTGTAGCGTTCAGTATAGCATCGGGATAGTGTCGAGATGGGTTTAGTAGTTATTTCCTGGGGAGTTTTCTGTTGGAAGTTACGAAGGGCGACAGTGTGGGAGCCTTTTGGCTCAGTAACCGGGCTGGAACCCAGTATTTCAGAGGACTGGAAGACGAATTAAGACTAGGGAGGTCTCGGTGGATTATGGAAGGCAGCCAGGAGGCAACATGTTATTTCGTACAGTTCCAATGTTTCAGGCAGTATCCGGTCGGGTTAGACCGAAGGGATAGGTCGAGCACCTAGATATGCTTGGCAGTATCTGGTCGGGTTAGACCGAAGGGGTTGGTTGAGCACCCAGATATGCTCGGCAGTATCCGGTTGAAATAGACTGAAGGGGAGGCCAGCACCCAGATATGCTTGGCAATATTAGTGTTTTAGGATTTCATGTATGGATGGTAACTGATTGTTTGGGTAATGCCAGGTCACTCATAGCGAGATTAAATAATATCAGAGTAATTGGTTTGACCTTGTTGCGTAGCTCTCGTCTGAGTCTAACCGTTGCAGAAATTAATCTTCTACTCGAAGGATTATCTGAGCCTCCTGTCGAGCTAAGTGTTCTTTAGCGGTATATGGTCAGTTACTTTGTATCCGTCGAGATGACAATGTGATCAGGGATTGAAAGCATTTTGTGGGATGAGAGACTTTATAAGGTTGGTTTGGGTAGCAGTTCGGTATGAGAGGTCTGACAGGGAGTCGAACCATTGAGACTTTAGTTCTTCTGACTCCAAGTAAAGGTGGGGTGGGTTTATATTCAATTATAGGGGATTCGTTCTTCACTAGGCTTGAAGAAGGCCATGGTATGATCAGAGTCGGAAGGGTTATGATTGGCTTGCTATTTGTTGAGAGAGGGCATGGGTTAGTTCAGCATGGTCGAGCTGTAGAGGAGTCAGGATGTTACAGATTTCAGGTCTCAGAAGGTAGAGACAGTTTGCAAGGGCTGAAGGTTCGTGTGTTATTTTGGGGTAGGAGTTTCGTTTGGGTTTCAGTTGCCTTGGGAAGGCTATTATATACGCATAAATTCCGATCATGATCATCAGGATTGATTGCTTTCATATTGGTGTTAATAAGGAGCGATTTTGAGGACGAAATCTAATTTAAGTGGGGAGAGTTGTAATACCCGGAATCTGGAAGGCTAATTATCAAAAATAAAACCTCATTTTTCAACTCGTCGAGTTTAAGGCATAAACTCGACGTGTATGAATTATGAGTCACGTGCATTTTCGAAGATCAACTCGACGAATCGGAGGGGACCAACTCGACGAGTTGGTCGTGGTTTGAGAAACCCTAATTCGGGGTTTTTCACCCTATTTAAACAACTTAAGCTCTAGGGTTTGGCCTCATTTCCAGCCTCTATCGTCCAAAATCCTAACCTTGAGACTCTAAGGCCATTTTTGAGTGTTATGAGTTCATCAAGAGTATTTGTTGGTGATTCTTGAAGGAGACTTGAAGAGAGAAGCACCTAGCTTGGAGGAGTGACTCTAGATCCAGAAACCCTTCATCAAGAGCTACATCTTTGAGATATAAAGTCGTTACCTTGACATATAGCTTACTAGATCTCTTTTCCTGAAGTTTTAGCTTGAGTTTTGGGGCTTTGATCAAATGGTCCGAAGAGAAGAGGTTTCCAGGGGTTAATGGGATAGATCTCACCCCTATATGACCTATTGAGGCTTAAAGTTGCAAACTTTAATGGCTTCCATGTCCCATTCATGCAATATGTCCATTGTAAAGCCAAAAATGGACATTTGAGGGTGTTTCTAGCATGCATGAACATAAAGTTGGAAACTTTGCGTGATTTGTCCACCTTAGGACATCAGATCTGTATGTTGGTGTGTTGTAGTAGGAGTTTAGGGGCTTAATGGGTTGAGACCACCTTTAAAGAAACTACGGTTTGAGTTTTAAGCTTAGTAGATGGTTCTTGAGAGTAAAGTTTGAAACTTTACCCTTCTAGACATCATAATGGAAAGGACCTGAGGTCTGGTGCTGTTGGATTCGAGAGAAATGGCTTAATACATTAAAAATGGTTAACAGACTGAAGAACTTGACGAGTTCATAAAGGAACTCGACGAGTTGATGTGAGTATGTCCCGATTATGTTGAAAAGGAAGGAACTCGACGAGTTGATTCGTAGCATCACGATTCTGTGGTTTATGGGAACTCGCCGAGTTGAAGGACAACTCAACAAGTTGAGTCAACTCGGAGCGTTGACTTTGACTTTGACTTGGATGTTGATTTTGACCTTGACTTGACTTTGACCAAGGTTGACCTTTGGGGGTTATGAAGTATAGAATGGGTTCTAAAGGGTAGTCCCATGTAAGGGTTTGGGCCTAATTTGGAAAATTGGGCCATTGATGGGCTTTCATGGATTTTATAGTATGGACCTTGATGGTTCGGGGGTGAAACGGTCATTTCACCCCAAGTAAGGATTAAGGATCATGGTTGGAAACCCAATTGCTAATTGGGTGATATTTTGGGTATTGATAGCTCAGGGAGTTGTCAGGGCAGCAGCTTAGGATTTTCACAGTGGGCCTCAGCGTTCGAGGTGAGTTACCTTTCCTGTATGAGTGGGTCGAAGGCACCAATACTGGCCCACTAGTAGCTGATTATAATGGAGATGATTGTCTTTGTGATAATTGTCTGGTATGCCACTATCTGTTATGCTTTATGTGCTAGTATGCTATGATATTATGTGATAGAGGTAGGAGGGGTGGGATAGACCCCATTACCGGTCGAAAGAACCGAAGGGGTGGGCCAGTACCCAGATATGCTAGGCAGTATGTGACTTATGTGTTTATGTACTAGGATGATATGTGGTAGTAATAGGGGTGAAATAGTCCCCCTTACCGGTTGAAAGAGATCGAAAGGGTAGGCCAGCACCCAGATATGCTAGGCAGTTACCGGTTGAAGGAGACAGAAGGGGTAGGCCAACACCCAGATATGCTAGGCAGTTACCGGTTGAAAGAAACCGAATGGGTAAGCCAACACCCAGATATGCTAGGCAATTACCGGTTGAATGAGACCGAAGGGGTAGGCCAACACCCGGATATGCTAGGCAGTATGTTTTGTATGGTATATGGTATGATGGGGGAACTCACTAAGCTTCGTGCTTACGGTTTTCAGTTTTGGTTTCAGGTACTTCTTCTTCAAAAGGAAAGGAGCCGGCATGATCGCAACGCATCACACTATGATTTTCCGCATATGAGATCTTTAGGAGTTGTACTCTGATAACAATACTCTTTTATGACATGTTTTGATTATTGATACATTGGTTTGATATAAGTTGATACTATGGATGTTTTCAGACAAATGGTTTTATAATTATTAAATTAAAAATGAAATTTTTGGTATTAAATTTTGGGATGTTACATTACCCCTTAATTATATTTTAGTATTCAATTTATTTAGTTGTTTACTAGTTAATTAATTTTATCAAGTATTTAGTGACATTTCATTTATAAATATAAATATAACGATTATATTATATTTTCAATATTTTTATAAATATGGTGTTGTTGTTGTTATTATTATTATTATTATTATTATTATTTTGTATTTTACGTCTATAAATTATAGACCCTGTATATTTTGATTTATATTTTCGTTTGTTTAAAACATGATGTGTGTTTAAAAATGACTAATCGAAATGTAAAGAATTATATAGAAAATTTTAAATAAATAAAAATACATTAGTTAAATTTAAAGAAAAAACTATTAAAAAGGTTAACCATTCAAATAATCTTTTAATTAGATGATGAAATGATAATCTATCAACAACTTTAAGCTATAAAGGTGATACCCGTAGTACATAGTTACGTTTAGGTCTCACGTCACTTGGCATATGATTCAGTCCGTAATGTCCCAACAAAAAAAAAAGTTTAGATTTGTCTGTTGTTTAAACGTGACTTATCTTTCCTTTACCCTTTACTCAGCGTGTCAAACAATCAAGCAAAACGAACTAAATGACTGCGGGTTCATGGAACTGCAAGTGGCCCAGTTGTTGCTAAAACGTGCGGGATTAAATTACAAGCTTCTAACGGATAAGAACCTTTGACCATTACCACAAAGTCAATCTTCTTGCCAATGTCCTGGTTGTACTCATAGTATGTCAACCGTCAAACACAATACCACTAGCCCAAACTTCTATATAAACTTCAACTACCAAAGTAATCGACCATATCAATAACACAAAACTATCACAATGATTCTCCAATTAAACAGACTTGGTTTTTCCCACCATAATCACCATCGCAATATGTCGGAAGCTTCTTTTGCTTCCCTGCAAGCTTTTCGATTACAAGTGGCCGGAAACCTACACCGGGTACTGGAAAGTTCGATTCTTGGATCAGACGTCTTGTCCATCAAATGGATCCACCGATGTTTTCAGATATTACCCATATTGAACAATGAGTTTGCTAAGCTGATGGGGGAGATAGATTATCCGGTGAGCAGTTGGGAAGCTGGTTCGATTGAAGAGTATCTTGATTTCACCATTAGCATGTTGGAACTGCTGAATGCAATAAATTCTTCTCTTTCTCATCTTAATCAAGCTCGGGTGTCGCTCTCTCATGCTTTGAGCCTCATGAAAAACTCTCCGGCTTTAGCTGTGGAACGTATGAGAGAGATTACAGTGCATGATTCCGTCAAGGGAATCAAAGGGAGCGAAGGGAATGGAGAAAGGAATCGGAATGAGAAAGAAAGGATATTTCATGAAGGTATGATGGTTCTCAGGAGTACTGGATTTTGGACTTGTGGAGTTGTGTTGTCGGGATTAAAGAGTGATGCTAGGCCGATTATGGAGATTATGGGAACTGGGATGGTGGTGGATTGTTCGTTGATACGTCTTGATTCCATCTTTAGGAAGAAGATTACCGAGGAAAGGGGATTGGTAAAGGAAGTGGAAGAAGTGAATGAGACTTTGCGTATGATTGTATTAAAGGGTATTGGTGATTCCGATGCTGTGATTGAATTGAAGAGAAGATTGGATGTGGTTGGGAATGGATTAAAGGGTTTAAAAGAAGAAGAAGAAGGTTTATTTGCAGAGTTTATGGCTGCAAGAAATAAAGTGCTTGAGACACTTCGAGCGAAAAATAAATAACTAACAATCACTTTTATTTTCTTTTGTATATATCAAATGTCAAATCATGTATTTAGTCAGAAAATGTTGTAACAATATCTTTATTTCATTTTTTTACGAAAAATATAGTAGTTATAGGCTTAAGAATGAAATTTAGGAAGTTCTTGTTATTCATCCCTGTGATCAATTGCATACAACTTTGTCTCAAATACTTTTATGATGTGATATGAATTGACAAACAGATGATCCCTCGCGTTTAACTCATGCATCGACTAATTTTAACATGTATCCAAGTCGGTAGTTGTCAATGTCTTAGTTCATTCTCTTTTGAACTTGAACAATCGAGGCCTTATTAGTGTCATGTAACCATAGTAGAAGATTGAACATTTCTACATTTCCAAATATGGGTTGAAATCGTTTCACCATTTTTATCAAATATTCATTTTGCCAAAATAGGACAATTAACTATTTAACTTCCACCTCCCTTGTACTTTTTTTGCTTTAGTTGATGAGTGGGTGATACTTCTTTTACTTATTAAAAGTATTAGTTGTCGGTATCCATATTCTTATAAATATTCAAATTTGGAATATTCACCCTATTGGCCATTTGATTAAAATTAATATCACATAACAACCTTCGGTCAGTTCCAAAAAATATCCATAGCAACCAATTTTTTTCAAGATAAAAATTTTGACTATGATTTTCGAAAAAACTTGGTTTTAAAATCTGACTTTTAATATAAAGTTTGATAAGTGTTGAGTTCAAGAATCCTTATAGAATCAATGCAAAAGTATGAACATTAGGGTTATGTTCTTTGAATAGATGTATGAAAAGGATTACAATGTTCCAATAATAGAGATTTTATAAGCGTAAAAAACCAGTAACCTTCCTAATGACCAATTGACCATCACCATATATAGGCAAAATTAAAGAGGTAAACACAAATCTTATCATAAACTAGGACATTTACACTTAAGCAAAACAAACTAGCTTAGACTAACATACACCATAAGTTATTTGGGCCATGTGATAAACAAATATGACGGAGAAACTTAATAAGTTCTACCAAGGCTCGATCATTACAGATATTGTAACTTTAGCTACCATGAGCTTTGGACGCTTAACAACATAAACCATAACCCAACAAAGTTGGTTTGAAAATATGATATTTCAGAGTATGAGCGTAACTCACAAAAACTCTCTAATGCCCAAGTAGGCAGAGAGGAATTGAATAAATAGAATAAAAAGTTACAAATACACCTTTGGACAAATACAAAAGGACACAACTGGCTAATCTTTTGTAGTATCCCCTTCAAGCGGAACGGTGGCGGACCAATGGTGAGCAAGTCACGGAAGAAATCAAATTGATGACGGGGAAGACTTTTGGTAAAGATGTCAGCCACCTGAAGTTTGTTGGATACAAATTTGGTATGAAGCTTCCCAGAAGAAATGAGCTCCCGAATGAAATGGTAATCAAGTTCAATATGCTTCGCGCGCTTGTGGGAAACCGGATTCTGAGTAAGAAATAATGCACTTTTGTTGTCGCATAGGAGAGTGGGACGAACAGATGGGAGAGCATGGAGTTCTTGAAGCAGATGGGTAGTCTAAATGAGTTCAACAGCGGTATTTTCCATGGCCCGATATTCGGATTCACAGCTGGAGCGAGAGACGGTAGGTTGCCACCGAGGAAGATAGAGTAGCCATAAGTGGAGCGTCGAGTGTCAAGACAACAAGCACAATCAGCATCGGAGTACACGAGAAGAGACGATGGAGGATATCAGTGAGAGAAAGTGAGGCCGAAGGACATGGTGTCCTTGATATACCAAAGAATACGTTTGACACTTTGAAAATGGGAGAGAGTCGGAGCTTCAAGGAACTCGCTAACTTGATTCACCGCATACGAGATATCAGGTCGGGTAATCATCAAGTATTGGAGTGCTCCCACAAGTGAACGGTAAGTGGTGGGATCATCAAACGGGTCACTACTTGTGACAAAGGGAGCATTAACGGCAAGGGGAGTGGTGACAGGTTTGGCATCAACCATATTGGCCCGCTTTAGGATGTTGTGAGCATATTTGGACTGACTGAGGAAAAAGCCGTTGGTAGTATATGTCACCTCGAGACCAAGAAAGTATCTAAGATGGCGAAGGTCTTTAATGGAAAATTCAATATGCAACTTGTTGATAAAGGATTGAATAACCGAGGCGTGATTTCCAGTAAGGATCAGGTCATCAACATAAACCAACAAATACATAATACATGCACCCCGTTTAAACACAAAGAGAGAAGGTTCGGCCCGGCTGCACACAAACCCATTGGTGACCAGAAACGAGCTAAGCCGATGAAACCAAGCCCGGGGCGCTTGTTTGAGGTCGTAGAGTGCTTTGTTTAAACAACACACATGATTAGGGAACTTGGGGTCTTGCAAACCCGGTGGCTGCTCCATGTACACACGTTCACTCAAGTAGCCATTGAGAAAAGCATTGTTAACATCAAGTTGGTGAAGGTTCCACTTGTTGGCAACAGAAAGAGACAAAACAATGCGGACCGTAGAGGCTTTAACTACCAGACTAAAGGTATGAGAGTAATCCAAACCAGGAACTTGGCAAAATCCTTGGGCAACTAAACGGGCCTTGTAACGACCAATGGAACCATCAACAAGGTATTTTGTTCGAAATATCCATTTGCAGCCAACAATATTGTGGTTGTGCGGGCGAGGGACCAAGGTGAAGATATTGTTGCGACGTAAAGCATCCAACTCCTGTTGCATGGCGTCCATCCAATGCGGGTAACGAGCTGCGGTTTTAAAACCTGTGGGATCGGTGGAAGCGTGAAGAGCTGCCAAAAGCCCATGAGAAGCGAGATCCGCCGAATATTTAGATTTGAAAATGCCAGCTTTATCCCAGGTGATCATCGGGTGAGTCGGAGGAGGAGGAGGACATTATGGTGATGAAGATGAGAGGACCAGAGATGTCGGTTCAGATGGAAGATCTGCAGAGGCAACATCATAGTCAGGATCAGCACCACCATGGTTATGATCATTAGCGCCATGGTCATCATTACCAGTAGTGGGAGCAGAAATGGGAGAAGTGGCTGGTGGAGAGGGATCCTCAGATAAACACCACGAGGGTTATTGGGGAGTTGGTGTCGGGGCGATAACAATAGTAGGTGGAGACGCTGGCAGTGTCGTAGCATCGTAAGCATCATCTCGAAACTGTGATAAAACAAGCATGTGGGCCGGTAGTAAAGTAGCGTCGCTATGGAAGGGAAAGCATTGTTCGTCAAAGTGAGCATGTCGAGAGACAAAGATACGAGATGTAGAGGGCTCCAAACACTAAAAACCTTTATATTGAGAGCAAACCCCGAGAAAAATACACAGAAGGCTCCACGGGGACAGTTTCTGATCCATATAGTCACGTAAATACAGATAGACCTGTGACAACCCAAAACTTTTTTCGTTATCCTTACTCAGTCTCCGTTAATAAAATTTGGGTTTTTAATTAATTCTGTCAAATTCCTTAGTTGGGAAGGACCTTACGTTTTAAATAAATCAATTCGGATTTATTTCCGTTCACGTTAATATTATTTTTGATCTAACGGAATATTCTAAGCTTAGTACAATCAAAGTTGGGTCCAAGAATGAGTTTTTCCAAGTCAAAGAGTAGTATCCGAGCCAAACACCCCTTTGAGAGGAGTTTACGGCCGTAAACCCTCCACCCCACCCCGTGGCCGTAAACTCACCCCTATATAAGGGATGAGTGACCTTCATTTCTCACTTTACACATCTCAGGAGCTTTCTCTCTCTACTCTCTCTCTCTCTCTCTCTCTCTCTCTCTACAAACTTCGAATTTGCTCAAGGATCCTCAAGAATGTAAGTGATTCTTCACTTTGATTGTGTTTCTATCCTTATTTTAGTGATGAATCCATGTCTCATCTCCTAAATTTCATCATTTTCTAGATTTTCTCTCTCACCAAGAACACCAAGAACACACACTAGTTCTTAGTGGCTAAAAACCTTATTCCAAGCTTCTTAACAGTAAGTAACTACCATCTGTACTTGATATCTCTAGAAACCATCGATTTTCGCCTAAAAATCGACCTGAAACGCATGAACTGAGTGTTTACGGCCGTACTCCCTTCAATGGCCGTAAACTCCATTTTTTTCGATTATTGACCTTTAACTCTTCCTTGAACTGGGCACGAGGCTTAGGACACTTCCAGAAGGCTAGAAAGGACCTTGAAACACCGAAAATCGCACCTTTCGCCAAGTGTTTAAGGCCGTAAACCCATGGGCCGTAAACCCATGGACCGCAAACACTTGGGCCGTAAACATATGGGCCGTAAACCCTGTTGGGCCGCAAACCCTTGACCGTACACTCCTTTTACGACCGCAAACTCCCCATTTTCAAATCATATGTGATTCTAACACTTAGTTTTAAGTGTTTCCTAGTCCCTAAGGTGGTTCTTTCCATAACAACTAGAGTTATGCCCTCACCTAATGCATATATGTACTTTTACATGCTAAATAGGATCCATTTTGCCCGAGGCTTCAATTGACACTCAACAATTCCTAGCAAATTACACTCGAATCCCTCGTCAAACAGTGAGTTCATACCCCTACACTTTTTCCGAGTTTTTTCATGTTTTCAGGGGGGGGGGAATACAAGAAAAAGTACAAGGAGACTTGTGCTCAAAATATATTATTTTGTTTAAGATAATTATATTTCCAGTATACCTTAACACAGAAAGCAGTTTTACCAAACGATTAAGAAATCAACTCGTAGAAACAGTTTTCAAAACTAAAGCAATAAACTTGTGAATCTTGTCATAAAATGTAATATTTTATAAAGAATTCATACAAATCATAAACATGACCTTCGGTATTATTACATGCAAATTGTTAGTCTAAAGTTGGAGACACGTCCTTGGTAACACTCCCACCGAATTCGAGAGTGTAGGACTAACACTTGTAACCAGAATCTCTTGTAGGGAGAACGTGACTGCTGTGTATAGATCTATA